ATGCATCAACGACTGAAAAAAAGATTCAGCATCGCTTTCAACGTTCTAGACGGCAAACCCACCCAACATCAAGAAACTGTACCCAGCAACGGTCGACGACCAACAACGACAGCGATTCTAACGAGTCCGGGTGAGTTGTCGGCAGACTCGGGACATTTTGATACACTCACTTTCCGTTCCGCACTAGGCTGGTGGCCGACAGCAACAACGAGCGCGCCGAGCTTGTGCAAGCGGCCTCAACAACGGCAACCCAGTCGTTGTCGATTTGAACGACAGACCAAGAGCAACCGACAACCCGCCATCTCGGAGGCAAGCAATGACGCTATCGAACAGGCCAGCCAAATCAAGCATGTCACGACCTTGGCCTGCAGTTAATCCAACCCGGCTAACTCTCAACGTTAGAGGCAGAGTACGGACCATCTGTCAAGCTAGGTCAGTTGCTGCGCCAAAGCCGTCGACAGCAGACTCACAAAAATAGCCGGAATCGCTTGCTCTCCCTCCGGTCCAATCCAAACCGCCCTCAGTCTGTCACCACCTCCCTCCGATTCATCAACTTGCATCGATCGAACTCAAGACGACGACGCCGGCCCGTTTCTCTTCAGCACTAACAAGAGGGTTTGACGTTACTCTCAACGTTGAACAGCAAACTCACCAAATATAGTCTTGGATCAGCTCGCCCGTTTCAGCGCTCCAACCCAAACCATGTCAAGGTACTGCGGTATTCCCGTTAGTGCGTGAAAAGCCAAGCGGGCTCACGAATGCGGCCCGGCGTTGCCCCAAACCAGGTCCACAACGCAAAGACCGACATGTCGTCTGTGGCCCGCATCACATATCGCGTCAACATCAAGTCTGTGAGCAATCCGAGCGGCGTAGAGACAGCTTTAATGAAGGTCAGTGAGCAGATTCAACGTTGCTAACAGCCAAACTCACCAGCAAGTGACTATAGTCGACCATATCTCCCTCCGACAACCCGAACCGACTCAACTCCGTAATCTGATTTCGCCAAAGCTCTGCGTCAATAAGCCAAGCTGGTTCACTCGCGCTGCGCAAGTCTTGCTCACCACCACGTCCAACATCAAGTCCGCAAATCACGACTCTGGCAGTTACCCTGGGAAGCAACTCAAGTCAGTCAACGACCCCAATCCAACACTGAGTCCAACGTCCAACTCGTTGTTGGAGGCTGCTGGTGGTGTCGAATGCAAGATGACTACGACGACGTCGGGCGTGGGCTAGATAGAAATTGTCAGTATGTTGATGGCAACAAGAGAAAGTTCAAGACGCGAACGACGGCGAGCATGTCGACATTGAAGAGAGGTGGTGAGAGAAGGAGGGAAAGGGCGATGGGACTTGCCTAGACAAGTCCCAGGCTTTTATACCCACTGTAACGGCATGTTGAGAAGCGGAGCGCTGAAGAGATCAGCGGAGTTGACATTCGCCTAAGATACTTGATTTGAAGATTTCGGATATTGAGTGCCGAGGGCGTGTGAGATGGAATCAAGCAGTTGGGACTGGAGGAAGACTGTAGTATCTGTGTGTCCTGCACTTTTCCTGGCTCAAACTTCCCAAGTCTATGCTTGTATCCACACAAGTACAGAAAGCAAGTTTTCAGAATAAAGGTGCATCGAGCGCGGCGGAGCTGCGATGAAACACCTCCCACGCTGGATCATCCCTGTCGGCTGACGCTGATAGGGAGATCTGGCCAGCTCCGCCGCGCCTAAGGGTCGGAAAGTGAAATAGTGGATTTGAGGATATGAGCAATAACGCACAGTAGGAGACACCAGAGGGACAAATATTGGCCCGGGAGAGGCCTGGGGTGACATGTGACATGTCACTTAACCATTTGCAAGTCTATCGGCGCTTGCGATGTACTGCTGTTCTGTTATCAGTAGAATGTATCTTATAGTGTATCACGTCCACTCATGCGCAGAAATAAGTGCGATGAAGCTCTGGATAACATACAGTGGTGTTGAACATTATTTCCCACGCCTGTCTGTACTTGATCACGCAAGTTATGAGGGCAAAACTCAGAACATAATAAATTGCCTTATCGGTCAGGATGGAGAGCTGAATCAGCAACACGTCGCGACGCGTCCCGCAAGCCACAAAATGGTGGATCAAAGAAGGGGAAAGCGATGTTTGTGGAAACACAAGCATCTGTGGACTATGTTAGATTTCAAACCAAAACTACACAAAAGTGTGTTAAACGGACAAAATGACGATGGTCAAACTGTCTATCGGCAACCACCTAAGCCAAGATTCGTTTGAATCCTGGGTCCCACAGGTTTACATGTCTTCTGCCTAAGCGCGCCTAGACCCTGGGCTCTATGCCATTCCCGCTGTCGGCTCGCTCCATTCTCCGCACATCCGCCGCTCGCCTAATCCTCCGCCGACGCTCAAATCATTTCCAATGACTACCGGCATCCCTCGCCACTCGTCACATATCACCAGCCGACGTCGGAGTTTCCGTAAGTCATCACCGGCAACTCCGCGGTCACTCTTCGTGACCTTCCTATTTCTCTCTGTCCAACTCCACTACCATCCCGTGCTCGACACCTCGCACGTTGCCCACAGGTATGTCTTCTCTTACGCGCACTCTTCCCTGTTCTCATTTGTTGTTCCAGTGGCTTTAATTGCTTGTCTTCGACCATGGCCAACAGCATTGTGTTCACTTCACTTCACACGGTGAGCTCCCAAACACGCCTTTTCTTCATGCGTCTAATTGACATTTTTGCTTTTGACCTCAGTGCAGTGCTGGCGGCCAACGGACTCAAACGCGGCCACCAACAAGTAGACTCTCGGCTTCTTCCTGTGTCTGGTAGCGCAGCGCCCTGCTCCCAACTTGGCGCACCCTTGTCTAACCACCCACACAACTACACTCTGTCTACTTGACCCCTCATTTCCGCGCACACTTTAAACAGTTGACTCAACAGCACTGACATAGTATGTCTTTCTTTTTCTCCTTCATGTGTTGAGTTCTCATTGTTTTCCTGCAGCTCCTCGCTTGCGTCTACAAATTCTGCTGTTTGCTGGGCTTCAAGCGTGTGCTAGCAGCCAATGCCTCACATGCTAGAGCGGCGCGTGCTTATGTGACGCCAGGCCATAAGGTCAGTTTATGTTTTTTTGTCCGTGTTAGCCGTGGCACTGACAGAGACTTCCAGCAAGCCGTCTTCATGACGGGCTCCATCATCATTGTGCATGGTGGCGCGTGTGGCTTTTGCCAGCCCTTACAAACTTTTTCTCGTTGACCAATTACCATTTGGGGCAGGATTTTGACATTAAATTAGATGTAAATAGGTGATTACGTAAGCAATTTCCCATCGTCATTTTGATTTCAAAAACTCACTTTTGTTAGACTTTTTGCCGCCGGAGGCGACACATAACCGCTTGGACTCAATGCTGCGGCTGCTGCCATTTGCAGCAAAATCCTACCGGTATGATCAAAAAATCCCATTGTTGATGAACCATCAGCCTCGGAGGTTATGTCCCGCCTGATGCCGCGTTCCGGACCCGTTGCCGGGCTGCCGGCCGTCGATCCGATCAATGATCCGGATTTTCCGGTGATTTTGGCGTGCACTTTTGCGCTCAAAAAACACGTCAAAACAGCTCATTTTTTGCGGGATTTTGCTGCCGGAGGCAAACATACAGGTTGGCCTAACAAAGTTGCCGTTGGCAGCTATCTGCTGCCGACCCACTTCTTCATGTGTGTGCGACTGTTTTGTTTCTTCATTCATCGCCTAACCATTCCCCCAAGACTTCCACTGTGCGGCCATCACCCGCTGGTAGTCTCCACCATCACCATCACTCTTTCCTTCTCCGGCCGTCACCCCCATCCTTGTTGCTTCACGCCAGCCAGAACAATGGGCTAATTCTGGGTGTGGTGTACAAGATCAGTCACCAACACGACATACCTTGGCGGCGCTGCTGCTGGTCTGGCTTCCGGCAGGCCAATACCAGTCGTTACCGTGGCTGGCAAGAGGCCAACCCGACACCAAACTTTCCATCCGCCACATGCTATCAATCCGGCCTGCCCTACGTGTTCTCCCACAACGCTCTCATCTTACCCTGAAGCATTGCCCCGCCAGCGGGAGATCACGAGCAGTCCCGTTAGCTGCTGTGCAACCTTGCGACATCAGTGTCTCAGCGCTGCGATCCAGTCCCCGTGGCCTCCGACTTGTGTCCCGCCGCGCAACACAACAGTGCCGCCTTGTACGTGCCGGCCCAATATTATTTCATAGTGCCCTGCCACACTCGCGCAATTGCACGCAACTTCCCGCCGGCTACTCGGCACACAACCCCGCTCTTCTGCTGTGAATAATCAACCCTCTCGGTGCCGCGATGCCATCGTCACCGATTTTTTTTTTCTCAGTCCTGCAATATCGTGATCCGAGAGTGCGAAACACGCCGTCAGGCTTCCTGCCCGCCCTCACTTGGATTGTAGCTCAACACCATCCGAGTGACGACCACATTAGTCCGCTTCGTTGTCGTGCTTGTCGACCCACGCCAAACGCGTCTGGGTGCTCTTCAGCACCATGCTTCGGTTCCCGGGCCTCCCGCGACACAGTCTTACGCGCCATCCTCAACACTGGCGCTCTCCCACACGCCCTCATTGCCCCGCAACACGTTACTCATCGCCCAGCCGAGAAATCAGGAGCGGCTTGCTTGCCCAACCAACTCTTGCGATAGCGCTGCCATCCCCCATCCCCACTGCTCACGACTTTCCTCACCAACCCTTTGAGTCCCAAAACGCGACTTATAGCGCTGCCTTCCACGCCGTCCCGCAAAGACTATTGCCGTTGCATCCACTTATTTTTTTTCTCAGTCCTGCAATATTGCGATGCGAGACTTACGCGCGACCTTGAGTTTATTACCAATCTGCTTGAATTCTAACTTACTTTTTCTCAGTTTTGCGCCATCGCGATCTGAGAGAGCAATCAAGGAAGCCTGCGACTTTGGCCTTGCCCGCTTCAATCACTTTGGCAGGCCAGCATTCCTCGCCAGTCTCAGGCCTTGCAATTTTGGCCTGCCCGCGACTGCACTCGCTCCATCAAAAGGCGTTCTCGGCGAGTTCTCAACGGAATTTCACCATTTTTGTTGGAGGTGGGAGGGACGGAGTGGTGGTATGCGGGGATGTCGAGCCGATGAGAAGCCGGTGGAAGCGGGAGTGGGATGCGCAGGGAGGAGGAGCTGATCGGGGAGGTGGACGCGACGCGTAGTAGATTCATGTAACTCTTGGCAAAAAAGGTATATAACTAGAGCACTCGCGCGAGCCTTAGCGAGCTGCGAGCCTTTGCGATGGGTGAGCAAGCAGCGTTGAGGTGAAGCAACGGATTCATTCCAATGGTATCTAGGACAAATGCAGTACATGGTCGGGTGCGTGTTGAACGTGGCGCAAACTCTAAGCTCTCACCCGCTCTCCCAACAAAAGCTTTGACCTGGCACCGTCTTAGCACAGCCCATGAAAAATGAGAACTAACCTGGCAGTCGCTCTGCAGAGGAATTTGGACCTTGGAAATACCCCTGGGTACATTTCGCCATATCTGCTGCTGATCGCCACACTCCAGTTGGATGTCTCCCCGCTTCGTGAGCAGAAAAACTGCCCAAACAGCATCTTGCGTCATTTCACGATTATGTGGTGGTCCGACGGGGTCTGGAGTTTCAGCCATCGCAGGAAAGAGTCGAGCCCAAAGAAATATACGGTCTTGCGAAATAGTGTACGTCCCAGTTTTGAATGCGTTGATATAGAAAGCAAACAGATCAAGCCAGGGTGTATGGTCGTAGCCCGTTGTCCACTCTTCTGAACCGGGTTGCGACTCTGACGACAGGAGAGGTCCGATGTAGTGCGATTCGCCAAAGTCATTCCAGGTGATGGCTTGCACAATATCGACTTGTTGACGGTGTTCTATCAGTTGCTCCCAGCGTTTCGTAAGCATCCACTCGTCCATGTAGTAGATCATGTTCTTGTTCAACGTTGCTGACGAGTAGTGTGCGAACATCCAAGGAGAAACACCGGCCATGTAGGTGCGACCGCCAAGATCGTTGATCCAATTCGAGTCTGAGTGGAACGAGATGTTGGAACGCCCGACAGGCCAAGCTGAATTCCACTGAAAAATGTAAGCCGCCATACAACGAGTTTTTAAACCCCTACATTGAACCCTCCGTCCATCGCTGCCAGGTCATGTGGAAACCCGCCATCTTGCGCAAAAAACGACGGCACGAAATGAATCATCCTCCGAGATCTGCTCAAAGCATACTTCCAGCCATCGACGACACTTGCATGACCGAATGTGCAGTCTTGCCCAGAGAAAGTTGATAGAAGAGGCTTGCCGTCATACAGTTGATATTGAGGATCGTCGAAGAACTGGCTGATAGCGTCCATAAAGCCGGCGTCGTCTTGGGTGTTGCAGGGTATCGAGTTCATATCGAGCGAGATGAAGAGGTTGAAGTTCTCATGGCGACCCGCCGCTTCAAAGGCGCGTTTCAGCTGACCAATTTGCCACGCGTCGTTGCCAATGTTGAGCGCAAAGGCGTCAAATCCAGTGTTGTCGGCACGTTGAATGTCTGTAACGATAAGGCCAACATTGTTTGAAATCAATGTTCGTACGGGTCTCCCAGTCATCTACTCGGTATCTATTGGTATTTCCCACCATGTAGTGTGCAACCACGAGTTTAGAGGATGTTGGCGAGGTCGGCGGCGAGTCTGTAGGCGAATCGGGCGGCGAGTCTGACGGCGAGTCTGAGTTATCGATAACGGAGAACAAATCACCAATGGGTGAACCCAACACCATCGGCGAGAATAGGTATAGCAAAGGAAGGACTAGGTTGAGCATCATGATGTGGTGGTGCGGCACAGAGAGAAGGTTGGTGACACGGTCACGACGCGCAGGCAACACATGTTGCTGCGCAGCGCGATCGCGCGTGTCCTCGCTCCGCCGCACTCCCCCTTCCAAAATCCTGTTACCATCTCATCCGCCAACGGCTGGCTGGCTTGGCACTTAGCAAGGCAACTTAACGACTACATAACCAACTCGGGTCAGAGTCAGAGATGGCATTAGGTGCGACAGTCCGATTCGCCCTCTGAGACCACCCACATTGTAGGATTGCGCTGGCCGGAGCTAAAAGTAACCGCGGGCAGCAATATTATGCTAAACTGAACAGGTAAACTTTATCTATGTCTGTTGAATCCACTTACTTGATTGAAGGCAGAGTTTGGGCCAACAGATTTTGCAAGCTCTTCTCCCATTCGTTGCAACCAGCCGATTCACCGTGAAGCTTGAGCTTTGCGAAGAACACCCCAGGAGCGCGACTACAACGCAGACTTGCCCTGCAGGGCCGCGGCCAACGGGTACTTCCAACAATAAGCTAGTATTCACGTCCGTACTCGCTGCAAAACTTGAAGGTCAGCGCGTGAAACGAGTTTTTGATACTGACTTACTTACTGTTTTGTGTCAAAGGGCCTCTACTTGCGAGCTCATTCGCGTTTGCCGCCTCTTGTCCGCCAACCCGCCGTTCTGCTGCGTTAGTACTCGCTCTCTCCAGTTTTGGGCGGCACACTCACTCAATCTCAAGCAGACTTGAGCTGATCCATACACTCGTGCGCGTAATCGTCTTTCGCGGACTGTGGAGAACGCGGGCATGCTGAAAGGAAGAAAACTGGAAGGTCAGTGAGCAGCTTTGGCATTAGACAAAACTCACCAAGTGTATAGATGAACATAAACACAAATGATGCACCATTGAAAACGACGAGTGATGAGGTGCGCGTTCTGCGCTAAAATCTCCACAAGTAGCTAACAACCCAGTTAGCGCAACACAAAATAACAACGTCAGCACGCACCAATGAAGCTAAGTATTGTAATTCGAAATCAATGAAGAACACCAGCAACGCACCTTACGGTGCGTATGGGCAGTCATCCGAGTAGCCAGATGCGAGCCGGGCTGGAGCACAAGGTTGCGCGGACAGCGCAAGTGTCGAAGCCAAGCACTAGAAGTCGTTGTAAGTAAGGCAAGTCAATGAAGAACATAGCGCACCTTTGAACGACGAGTAAGATGCCACAAGTGTTCGACTTCCGGCGGGCCGCTGGCTAATCCACAGCCACACTCACGCTTGTCAAGAACAACCACGTCCGCTGCTGCACCGTAACCACCACCGCCTCCTAGAGCCTGCTCTACTTAAGTTTCTCAACGACAGACGCCGGGCCGCCATTTCTGCGATGCGCAAGCTTTCTACCATCGACTTAGCCTTACATGCCCCCAACCAACGAATGCGCCAGCAAACCGCGCAGACAAGGCCGCGCAAGTTATTGGCGGCCCACCGTCGCTGTCTTTTCGGGCCGACTTTCCGTGCTGGTAGCAAGTTACACAATCAACCACAACTTGCCGCTCAACGCATCCGTCCGGCCAATCACCTCATCCTTCTTGCTAATGCATCAACGACTGAAAAAAAGATTCAGCATCGCTTTCAACGTTCTAGACGGCAAACCCACCCAACATCAAGAAACTGTACCCAGCAACGGTCGACGACCAACAACGACAGCGATTCTAACGAGTCCGGGTGAGTTGTCGGCAGACTCGGGACATTTTGATACACTCACTTTCCGTTCCGCACTAGGCTGGTGGCCGACAGCAACAACGAGCGCGCCGAGCTTGTGCAAGCGGCCTCAACAACGGCAACCCAGTCGTTGTCGATTTGAACGACAGACCAAGAGCAACCGACAACCCGCCATCTCGGAGGCAAGCAATGACGCTATCGAACAGGCCAGCCAAATCAAGCATGTCACGACCTTGGCCTGCAGTTAATCCAACCCGGCTAACTCTCAACGTTAGAGGCAGAGTACGGACCATCTGTCAAGCTAGGTCAGTTGCTGCGCCAAAGCCGTCGACAGCAGACTCACAAAAATAGCCGGAATCGCTTGCTCTCCCTCCGGTCCAATCCAAACCGCCCTCAGTCTGTCACCACCTCCCTCCGATTCATCAACTTGCATCGATCGAACTCAAGACGACGACGCCGGCCCGTTTCTCTTCAGCACTAACAAGAGGGTTTGACGTTACTCTCAACGTTGAACAGCAAACTCACCAAATATAGTCTTGGATCAGCTCGCCCGTTTCAGCGCTCCAACCCAAACCATGTCAAGGTACTGCGGTATTCCCGTTAGTGCGTGAAAAGCCAAGCGGGCTCACGAATGCGGCCCGGCGTTGCCCCAAACCAGGTCCACAACGCAAAGACCGACATGTCGTCTGTGGCCCGCATCACATATCGCGTCAACATCAAGTCTGTGAGCAATCCGAGCGGCGTAGAGACAGCTTTAATGAAGGTCAGTGAGCAGATTCAACGTTGCTAACAGCCAAACTCACCAGCAAGTGACTATAGTCGACCATATCTCCCTCCGACAACCCGAACCGACTCAACTCCGTAATCTGATTTCGCCAAAGCTCTGCGTCAATAAGCCAAGCTGGTTCACTCGCGCTGCGCAAGTCTTGCTCACCACCACGTCCAACATCAAGTCCGCAAATCACGACTCTGGCAGTTACCCTGGGAAGCAACTCAAGTCAGTCAACGACCCCAATCCAACACTGAGTCCAACGTCCAACTCGTTGTTGGAGGCTGCTGGTGGTGTCGAATGCAAGATGACTACGACGACGTCGGGCGTGGGCTAGATAGAAATTGTCAGTATGTTGATGGCAACAAGAGAAAGTTCAAGACGCGAACGACGGCGAGCATGTCGACATTGAAGAGAGGTGGTGAGAGAAGGAGGGAAAGGGCGATGGGACTTGCCTAGACAAGTCCCAGGCTTTTATACCCACTGTAACGGCATGTTGAGAAGCGGAGCGCTGAAGAGATCAGCGGAGTTGACATTCGCCTAAGATACTTGATTTGAAGATTTCGGATATTGAGTGCCGAGGGCGTGTGAGATGGAATCAAGCAGTTGGGACTGGAGGAAGACTGTAGTATCTGTGTGTCCTGCACTTTTCCTGGCTCAAACTTCCCAAGTCTATGCTTGTATCCACACAAGTACAGAAAGCAAGTTTTCAGAATAAAGGTGCATCGAGCGCGGCGGAGCTGCGATGAAACACCTCCCACGCTGGATCATCCCTGTCGGCTGACGCTGATAGGGAGATCTGGCCAGCTCCGCCGCGCCTAAGGGTCGGAAAGTGAAATAGTGGATTTGAGGATATGAGCAATAACGCACAGTAGGAGACACCAGAGGGACAAATATTGGCCCGGGAGAGGCCTGGGGTGACATGTGACATGTCACTTAACCATTTGCAAGTCTATCGGCGCTTGCGATGTACTGCTGTTCTGTTATCAGTAGAATGTATCTTATAGTGTATCACGTCCACTCATGCGCAGAAATAAGTGCGATGAAGCTCTGGATAACATACAGTGGTGTTGAACATTATTTCCCACGCCTGTCTGTACTTGATCACGCAAGTTATGAGGGCAAAACTCAGAACATAATAAATTGCCTTATCGGTCAGGATGGAGAGCTGAATCAGCAACACGTCGCGACGCGTCCCGCAAGCCACAAAATGGTGGATCAAAGAAGGGGAAAGCGATGTTTGTGGAAACACAAGCATCTGTGGACTATGTTAGATTTCAAACCAAAACTACACAAAAGTGTGTTAAACGGACAAAATGACGATGGTCAAACTGTCTATCGGCAACCACCTAAGCCAAGATTCGTTTGAATCCTGGGTCCCACAGGTTTACATGTCTTCTGCCTAAGCGCGCCTAGACCCTGGGCTCTATGCCATTCCCGCTGTCGGCTCGCTCCATTCTCCGCACATCCGCCGCTCGCCTAATCCTCCGCCGACGCTCAAATCATTTCCAATGACTACCGGCATCCCTCGCCACTCGTCACATATCACCAGCCGACGTCGGAGTTTCCGTAAGTCATCACCGGCAACTCCGCGGTCACTCTTCGTGACCTTCCTATTTCTCTCTGTCCAACTCCACTACCATCCCGTGCTCGACACCTCGCACGTTGCCCACAGGTATGTCTTCTCTTACGCGCACTCTTCCCTGTTCTCATTTGTTGTTCCAGTGGCTTTAATTGCTTGTCTTCGACCATGGCCAACAGCATTGTGTTCACTTCACTTCACACGGTGAGCTCCCAAACACGCCTTTTCTTCATGCGTCTAATTGACATTTTTGCTTTTGACCTCAGTGCAGTGCTGGCGGCCAACGGACTCAAACGCGGCCACCAACAAGTAGACTCTCGGCTTCTTCCTGTGTCTGGTAGCGCAGCGCCCTGCTCCGCAACTTGGCGCACCCTTGTCTAACCACCCACACAACTACACTCTGTCTACTTGACCCCTCATTTCCGCGCACACTTTAAACAGTTGACTCAACAGCACTGACATAGTATGTCTTTCTTTTTCTCCTTCATGTGTTGAGTTCTCATTGTTTTCCTGCAGCTCCTCGCTTGCGTCTACAAATTCTGCTGTTTGCTGGGCTTCAAGCGTGTGCTAGCAGCCAATGCCTCACATGCTAGAGCGGCGCGTGCTTATGTGACGCCAGGCCATAAGGTCAGTTTATGTTTTTTTGTCCGTGTTAGCCGTGGCACTGACAGAGACTTCCAGCAAGCCGTCTTCATGACGGGCTCCATCATCATTGTGCATGGTGGCGCGTGTGGCTTTTGCCAGCCCTTACAAACTTTTTCTCGTTGACCAATTACCATTTGGGGCAGGATTTTGACATTAAATTAGATGTAAATAGGTGATTACGTAAGCAATTTCCCATCGTCATTTTGATTTCAAAAAACTCACTTTTGTTAGACTTTTTGCCGCCGGAGGCGACACATAACCGCTTGGACTCAATGCTGCGGCTGCTGCC